TGGGTACAAGTATCTGAAATGTCTTTCCAACTTGCTGAGCAGGTCCCTGGTCAATGTGGCGACCCCACGTGCCCCAGGGTCTCTGGTGAACTTCTGAAGCATAAAGATAGCATCTATAAAAGGCTGAGGCTGCATTCTGGTACCGCTCCTGCTCTTGGCCAAGTGTGTGCCTGCAAAGTGTGTCATGAAATGGATTTCAATTGAGTATATTGGGTTTTGTTAGGGAACAAGTGGGGGTGGCATTACGGGGCATCAAATAAATCCAGATTTACCCAGCAGCATGTCATAAATGTCAAAACCAAAATAATGGTGACCTTTTGAATTAGGAAAATTATGTTTTATATCCTGCCAAATACATATAATGATACTATGTCTGTTGGTTAAACAAATGGTCCTCGTGTCTATGTTAATTTAATAGTGACAGATGTGAAGTCCTACATTCAGGATAAAAACAAATGCCCGCATACACAATGGGGAATGCTTAGCTGAACACATATTTGAAAAACAACAACAAGGGGTTGGGCAGTTTTGGTCAACCATCAGACAGGAGGAGGCCACGGTCAGGTCAGGTGTGGCTGGAGAGCAGCACGTTCCACAAAGCTGAAATTCCACCCTGAATGGGGGCTGCACTCGCAGAGGGAAAGCCCCCAGCCCTGTGTGAAGCCGTGAATGTCCATCAACTCAGAAATGGGTACGGACATAGAGGAATGTTCATATCATGAAGTAATTAAAATGAATGAAATGAACCTACATAAATAAACTTACATAAATAAATCTGAAAGATAGTGTTGAGTAAAAAAAGGCAGGTTGCAAAAGAATATAGACAGTACAATAGATGTCGTTTGAATAAATGCTTCAAATTCACAAAGTTAAAAAGATAAAAGCATAAAAACAGGAGGAACTTATACCATCCTCCAGGAAGAGAGGAATGGGAATAGGATGGAGACTTTCAGTTATATCCAAAATATTTTATTTCATGTGAAAAAAAATTATTGTTGTGGTAGCTGACACCTGTAATCCCAGCACTTTGGGAGGTCAAGGTGGGAGGACTGCTTGAGCCTAGAAGTTAGAGACCAGCTCAGGCAACTCATCCCTACTCCTCAAAAATTATCTGAGGTAAATATGGCAAAAATTTTAGTAGTAGTATACATAAATAGATGTTTTTTTTATTTTCTGTACTTTATGTTTGAAGTATTTTATAACTTTAAAATAAATAATTTTAAACACATAAGTCTGTCTAACTATAAATTTTAAAAACTGCTGCTTTAGCTTCCTCTAAATTTATTTGAGTGTATATTATAAAAGCAATAAAATTAAATACATTCTGGAAAAATAGAAAAATTAATTACTCTGAATCTCTTCACTCACGAACAGCTATTGCAGTGTCTTAGTCAACTTCCTTCCATGTTCTTCCTGTGTGGGGTGTGTGTGTTTAAACACGGTCTGAGCATTGGGAGTGCTGTCCTGTTCACTCATGGCACACCCTTCCCCAAGCTGTGGCTTTGTCTCCTGGAACACCCTTTTTATTGACTTCTGTTGAAGACCTTCCACAGTGCACTCAATCGCACCGTTTTGCATAAGAACAGTCTTGAGAATCAACAGTCAAGTCTTCTCTTTTTTTTTTAGTCAGAGCCACTCCCTCGCTCAGGCTGGAGTGCAGGGGCACACTCATGGCCACCGCAGCCTCGACCTGCTGGGCTCAGGCGATCCTTCCGCCTCGGCTTTCCAAGTAGCCGGAACTAGAGGCTCCACACCTGGCTATTTTTTAAAAATTTATTTATTGTAGAGACGAGGTCTTACTAAGTTGCCCAGGCTGGTCTCGAATCCTTGGGTCGGGCAAGCCTCTTGCCTCAGCCTCCCAAAGTGCTGACAGGTTTGAACCACCATGCCCGGCCATTGTTCTTCTAAACGCCTGGGAACTCAACTGGGTGGGCCCTACTGTTGATTTCTGCAGGTCTGTGTTGTGTGGGATGACACTAAAAAGGTCTGTCACATCTGTGATATCACACTGCAGTGAAGACTATGCTTGTCAGCATCCGTCTGTGGGTTGGAAGCGTGCATATGTAAAAAGCCAACTCAGCACATGTCTTGCCTCCGAGGAATCAGGAGCTTGAACTTGCGGTGTCTGGTGTGAGCTCACATGCCCGCTGCTGGGAACACTTGCTGATCCTGGGATGCTCTTGTTCTGAGGGCTGGGGTAACAACAGTGATCATTATTCCCAGGACTTGGCGCCCTTCCCAGCTTATAGACGCTCTTAACTCCTTAGCCACCTGGCCCTCCTGGGCCCCTGAGAGGTGGGGAACAGAGGACACATGGCTGTTCCCAGATCACAGCAGTAAGTGGGAAAGTCAAGTCCACCACCCGACGCTTTGCTCTCCCTCCAGAATGCTTTTCGGCTCCCGTCCTTACAGCCAAGAAAGCGGGACTTCTGCCCTGGGCTCTGGATTTAAGGAGACCCTCCTGGGGCCCTCCAACCCTGCCGCGTAAGTCAGTCCAGGGGCCATGTCTGCTCAGAGCCCACTAGCCCACGCCTAAACCACACTCTGGGTCCCTGGAATTCCCTGAGAAATGGCCTGAGCTCTTCCAGGGCTGGTGCAAGCCCAAATCTTTATCCCGGACACAGACACTCAGCGTGTGAACACTAGGCACAAGGCCAGCATTTTGCAGGCGGTGTGCAGAGCTTAGGCCTGCCGGCTGCAGGATGCATTCAGGATCAGGGGTGTGGGTTAGGGTTAGGCACAGAAGCCGAAACCAACTTTCCCTGAAGTGTAGCTCAGGATTGCAAGGACCAAGCTGGGCACAGTGGCTCAAGCTGTGGTCCCAGCCACTCACAAGGCCAAGGCAAGAGGATCACTTGAGCCCAGGAGTTTGAGACCAACCTGGGCAGCATAGTGAGACCTCTTCTCTACAATAAATTAAGAAATTAGCTGGGTGTAGTGGCGTGCACCTGTAGTCTCAGCTACTCATGAGACTGAGGCAGGAGGATTGCTTGGGCCCTGGAGTTGGAGGTAGCAGAGTTATGACCATGCCACTGCAACTGTACTCCAGGCTGGGCGACATGTGACCTTGTCTCAAACAACAACCACAAAGAATGGTGAGACCCCAAGAATTCTAAATCCAAGCCTGGCCCTCCTGGCCATTATGAAGATATATTGGACAGAACAGGAGGATTGAATATTAACAATTATTATTAATATATTCTGTGGGGTGGTGTGCAAGCTTGATGGATAGTTTGGCATTTAGAGGTTTGGCACCTGAGCCGCCTCCTCCACTCTCATCCTGGGGCCCACAAGGGCTGAGCGCGGTCCTGGCTCTGCTTGTATCTCCCTGTGCTGTTTCCAGCCTCCCTGTTCTCTATCCAAGACTGCAGGTGTACTGAGGGGGCACAAAGGAAAGCACTCTAGAAGCCCAGGAAACAAAGCAACGTAGTGGGTAACATCCCAACAGCCAGACACCCTCGTGTATGTGTAGAAGCGGGAAATACCTAGCAGGACAAAGTAGAGCACAGCCACCTGCTGGGAGGGTGGATCTGCAGGGGAGCTGGGCTCTGGCTTCCCTGCTTGTCACCACAGAACTACCACCCTCTGTTGGTTGCTTCAAGCTGTGTCGTGGAGTCCACAGGACAGACAATATGGGAGTGATCTCACAGGCCCAGCCAGCCTCTCGCAACAGCGAGGCTGTGAGAGTTTTTACTTTAATTGCTATCGGGCAATTCCTTTCAGTCCCTTCTTCTCCAGCAATATTTCTGATCTGTGACAAAGAGTTTGACCGAACAGAGAAGCATGAAACCATGAAGACAGTTTCATTGAGCGCTTTACCCCCCACCGCCATTGAAAACAGAGATGCACACCCAAGCCCTAAATACGTAAACACCCACGTGAGGATAGCACTTTACCAAATCCGTTCCGAAAGTGATATTTCACTTGACTTTTGCAACTTGCCAAAGTCGTGTAGGTGAAGAGCGTTAAGAAGCCTGACTGGGGTCAGCAGACCAGGAACCTGGAGCTGTGATTCCAGAGGACTCAAACAGAAGGACTGGTTTTTCCAAACTTTTCATCAGGAAAAAAGAATCACCTTGTATTGCAGCCCTCACAAAGCCTCTTATATTGTGGGACTCCCTCTCCATCATTTACATTTTAATGACAAAGTTCTCGAAAACAACACATTAGCCTGAAGTCGCCTTTGACAGTGCTAGTTTTGGAAGTTGACAGAAGTCACCTGACCAGTTTTTTAAAAGTTGGAGGGAAATCTTTAGTAATGTTTCCTGGTGGTGCACTTTGTGATTGCAAGTGAGGCTTTTTAAAGATTTCTCTTTAAGGTCGTGTCTTGGGGAGACGGTGAATAGGATGGATTTTCGACACACGTGTGCATCTAAACGGTGCTCTGTCTCAAATGAGATAGATGAAAATGAAGCTAACATGCTTAGAAAAACGAAGACAAGACCTGGATGTTGAAGATGCAAGTGAAAAGTTTGGATACAGCAGCTTCATGAAACTCGAGAGAACAAACAAAACAATGTATCCAAATTAGCATTTTATACATTATGATTTAGTATTCGTGTGTAACTAAATAACTATTCTATATAGACATTTGATTATGCCATCTATATTATTACTTTATGCTACATTAGATTATGTATAAACACTTGATTATGTCGTCTATATATTTAAGTTGGCTAAAAATTGTCTGGGGCAAGAATCTTCTCACTGGAAAAATAGGAGTTGGCCTTAGGCTCAGTGACACACCACTTGGCTTTTCCAAAGTGCCCAGCTGGACCCCAAGTGAGGAAGGGGCAGGTTTGGGGACCCACAGTGGTGGTGAAGGCTACGCGCTGGCTGCCGCATCCCCACACAGCCCTTTGCAGGCTCCCAGACATGCCAGCCTTTCGTGAGGAAGGGTCTGTGGCTGTCCAGGTGCACCACTGAGGACCGTGTCTCACCACATCAGCGACTTGGGTGGGTCAGGACCCCAACAAGATGTCTCTTCTCACCTTCCACAGGCAGCCCTTGTCGGAGGCACCACCATGATCATCGGCCACGTCCTGCCGGATAAGGAGACCTCCCTCGTGGATGCCTATGAGAAATGCCGGGCTCTGGCCGACCCCAAGGTCTGCTGTGACTACGCCCTACACGTGGGGATCACCTGGTGGGCACCCAAGGTAACAGTGCTGGTGGAATCCCAAAGAAGGCACACGGGCTTTGGAAACGGAGGGACCCTTTGGTTTGGGCTGACCGGGGTGTGGCACTCTCCTGCACGTGAGAGTCACCCCTCTCACCACTATCCTAGCACCCAGTGCCAAAGCAAAAATTCTTAGGATTCCACAAAGGGAGTGCATGGGCCCATCCTGCTTAACCGAAGGAGCCCATCCTCCAGCAGACATGGAGAGCCTTGTGCTGCAACAGAGTCCAAGGCCAGAGGCCATGCCTTGGGAGTGCTGGCTCCCTGCTGTGACCACGCGATTTTAGCACCTGCTGATGTTTCTCTGAGGTGCCCTGACGGTGGAGGGCAGTGCAGCTGAGCAGTGGGCCGGCAGGGTTCAGGTATCTTATTAGCGTCAACTGCCCTGAGCTGAGGTCTCCAAACTGAGATTCCTATCCTGGCTCAGCACTGCCTGGTGTGAATGGACCCAGGTACGCGGACTTCCTACGGGCCGAGCTCCTGCTCTGAGAAGTGCTGAGGCTGCCCTGGACTGTGACAGGGGCTGCTTCCACTGAGCCCTTCTTAGCATGGCCTCTGTGCCCACCCTGTGTCTGTGTCCCAGAACTCTGGCTTTCCTGGTCAGAGTCCAGTCTCTTCCCCCTGGAGTCCCATGTCATTGCTCTTCCTGAAAGCAGACACACATTTAGATTTTGCTTTGTTTCTGGAGTTTTGCTACCTATCACTCCAGGGAAGCAGCCTGGATATTCATTCTTTCTTCAGTTACTTATTAAGACCCATGTACCAACACTCTGGCGGGTGCCCTGGAATCAGAAATAACAGGCATCAGGAAGTTCTGCCAACTTGGGAAGTGCCTCTTCTTTTTTCCTTAAAAACCCACGTGTAGGGGCACATGACATGAATAAGGGTATCTGATCTCAAGCCAGGCAAATGGAGACCAAAGGGAGGCCCAAACTTTACAAACTTTGCCTGTACGATGATCACTTATATACCTAATCTTGAATTGTACCCCACATCTTTAAAATAAAATAAATTTTTAAAAAAGAAGAAAAAACCCATTTGTAACTGCTGCTAATTGGAGTGTATATCCAGGGCAACTTCAGTCTATGCTCCTGACCGGCCATCCTCAAGCTTTCACCTCACATAAACTCTGTACTTGATCATTAAAAAAGAAGAAGTAGAAGCAGCAGCTTTACAAAGTTCTCCAGTTGCAGGCTCTAGTCTAAAGGGCCTCACAGCCTTCAGAGATGTGCTAAAGTCTCACTATGCTTCTGCCCTTGGGCTGTGGCCTTGAGTTGGGGCTCACAGGCTCTCTTCCATTCTTGGTGACCGGGCCTTTAGAGGGCCTTGGGGCACCCTGACCCTCCCAGCATGAAGGCCCCTCCTCCTGGTACCAGGCCAGAGGCACAGACTGTGCTGAGGGTCAACCATCCCTTATCTCAGAGGGGGTCTCCTTCCTGGACACCCTCCTGGGCAAGTGCCCCCTACCCAAACCTCTCCCCATTCCCTTCCCCTGAGTTGGCCTGGAATGGAGGGTCTCAGAGTCCCAGCAACACTGAAGCCAGTCCAGGCCAGCCTCAGCACCCAGAGGTTGTGGGGACTCTCGTGCATCTGGAGTTTTTAATTCTTTTTTATAATCAAGAAAAGGTTTCTAATTACAAACATTGAGAACAGCAAAGAAAGGAAACGTGTGATCCAATAGCCCCAACACATTCCCCACTGCTACTTTATCTTGCTTATCTCCAGTCTTTCTCCACACGTTCTTTCAGAGTAACTTTTTCTCTCATGGGTGCACCTTTTCTGTTTTGCCGCATTGTCTTCTGACCAGCAATATCACAGCCACCGACTGTTCTATCAGGTAGATGAACCTGAAGTTATTTTCCTATTGCTAGACCAGTGTTGCTTTCATTGTTTTCCTAGTGCGAATAATGTTACGAAGACCCATATTCTCATAACCTTGTTCATGTTTTGTTCCTAAGTTCGATCCTAAACTCGATCTTCCCAGGGTGGCTGGATTTTTAGCATTAGTGTGCCTTCTTTGTAACACCAGGGAATCGGTCACAGGAATCAGTCATCCTTCCTGTGATTACCATCACGGCTGGTTGGGAGACAACACAGGACAAGCCTGGGTGACAGGAGAAACGGACCATAACGTGGCAGTGTGGGCCCTACAACTGTCTTGCCAGGCAACTTTCCAGGCACGTCTGCACCCACTTGCTCAGGCAACCTCACGACAGCCTGCGGGTGGGAAGACAGTGAGGCAGAGAGGCTGCGGGTGTCCTGTGGTGGCGCCTGACCTGGGGCAGCCCACGTCTCCTGCCAGTCGGCCCCTCGTGTGTCGGCACCCATGCGGCATGCCCTTTGTGTTTGTGTTCCAGGTGAAGGCAGAGATGGAGACACTGGTGAGGGAGAAGGGTGTCAACTCATTCCAGATGTTCATGACCTACAAAGACTTGTGCATGCTTCGAGACAGTGAGCTGTACCAAGTATTCGACGCTTGCAAGGACATCGGGGCAATCCCCCGCGTCCATGCCGAAAACGGGGAGCTCGTGGCTGAGGCAAGTCTGCACCAGTGGAGACCATTATCGGGGGGGGGTCCTGACCGCCTGCCACCGACCCTGCAGGTTCAGACAAAGCAAGTCGTGAAATAGAGTTGAAACGTGAGCACTCCGGGTGACAAATCTTGGTCAGAACACCCAAACTTCCACTGTCTGTAAGGAAGAAATAGCTCCTTATGGTCCCAAAGGATTTCCAGGTCTTGGCTGATGGTGTCTTGATTCTAACAATGAGAGATTTAAATTCCGTTATAGCAGAGAACTTGGAGCACTTCTGAGAAATGTCTGTCATGATTTGACATGCAGAGTGAGTAAGAGTCAGCCTCCCACTTCCCTTCTCCTCCTCAGAGGAGTTACGGAGATCGGTCCACTGGTACCAGCAAAGATGAGGCTCTGTGTTTCTCGGTCTTGGGAGAAGGGTTAGCCTGGAAGTCACTGGAAGCTAGATAAACTTGTCTGGGTTTCCAGGGAGGAAATTCTGTTTTTCAACCAATATAGAGTGTTTGTCTTTGGGGCCCCAGGCCTGCTTGCTAGTTGCCGAACTACATTTTTAAGAGAAAAAGATAAGTTGAGGCATTATGCAGTGAGAATCGGGGGAGCGCTGTGGGAGGGGGGTGTGCATATCCTGCCTGCCTTAGAAGATCCACCCATGGAAGTGGGAGGAGTACCACAGCATAGGCCACGTAGGGGAGCAGGCCCCTTCTAGCAGATGTCACCGTCCCTGGGACTCCGTATTTGCTTATGTCCTCTCGATTTTCTTTCTCTTGCTGTTCTTCAGGGTGCTAAAGAGGCGCTGGATCTGGGTATCACAGGCCCAGAAGGAATCGAGATCAGTCGTCCAGAAGAGGTGAGAACAACGTCCCGTGGCCATCGTCCACGTCTTTCATGTAGACTCACAGGATCTTCTGTGATGGAAGAGACTTCAAAAGTACAAGTTGTATCCCTCTCTCTATGGGTGAAATTCCACCTGGAAGAATCTTCCTTCCAGGGGGAATCTTCCTCCATGTTGATACCATGACCTTGAGCTTCCTTGGAAGAGATACTTAGGAGAACCATACCCACCACATTTGATTCTGACTTCTAGGATCTGGAGGAGACACTGTTAGCACATCTGGGATTGCTTTGCCTAAAACAGAATCGAGAGGCCAAAGACAGACTGAAAGAGCCATCAGATATCAGAAGAAGTTTCAAACTATAAACTCAGCATTTTAAAGATGAGACCCCGTTGAGCAGCTGAGGAATACTTTGGGCCCTTCTCACCAGAAACAGGAGACACATATATGCCCGTGCTAATCCCCAGTTACTCACTGAAATGGTCATTAAAAGCCCTGTTCTCAGCTGGATGCAGTAGCTTACGCCTGAAATCTCAGCACAGGCAGGGAGGCTGAGGCGAGAGGATCACTTGAACCCAGGGGTTTGAGACTAGCCTGGGCAGTATAGCAAGACCCCCATCTTACAAAAAATTTAAAAATTAGCCAGGCGCGGTGACACGCACTTATAGTCCCAGGTACTCGGGAGGCTGAAGCAGAGGCTTGCCTGAGCCCAGGAAGTCAAGGCTGCAGGCAGCCATGATCGTGTCACTGCACTCTGGCATGGGCGACAGAGCGAGATCCCAACAAAAAAAAAGAAAAAATAGCCCTGTTCTCCTCTGCCCTCTGGTTTTATCCTCGCTCACATTCTGCTCTAGGGGGCCCATATTAGACAAGTAATGCCTCCTTGCCCTTGACCCTCTTCCGGCATTCTCTGCCACTTGTAACGACGTCTCATTCCACCAAAAACCGTAAGTGCAGAGTGGTGGCTGGATGTTCACGAGGGATTAAGGAGGGGTTCATGGGACAAGGAGCACTGCCATCACCCAAGAACCAGGCAGGCTGCTAGGGAGTCCCACGTTACCCTGATCTGCCCCATCTGTCAGAGCCCTTGAACATGGGTCCTGTCCTGGCACCCTTGAATTGGTAGGGTAACTCACACCAGACTCCACAAGTGCATGGGGGCTGTGCCGGTGAGAGCAGGACTGGACTCCGTGGTGCAACACTGGGAAAGGGCAAGGCTTTGGCCACCATGGTTGTAGCAGTAAAACTGATCACCATCCTCATCTGCCAGTTAAAGAGGAGGGTCCTGGGTCTACCCTAGGAGCAATTCTGTCCCCAGAGGACACTGGGCAATGTCCCAAGGTAGCTTGGCTCTCCCACCTGGGGAAGGGCACCTCTTGCATCTGGTAGGTCGAGGCAGGGGTGCTGCTGGACATCCCCCGATGCACGGACGGCCCTGTCCCAGAGAATCATCTGACTCAAAACACCAAGAGTGCCGCGGTGTGAAACTCCAACCCGGGCTCTTTTCCAGGTTGAAATCAGCCACTGTGGCACCTTTGCTGCAGCTCCAAGGTGGCTGTGGAGGGAGGCACCGGAAAGCAGGGGAGTGGGACTCTGAGCTTTCGTGGCTTTTGTTTTGTTGCCTTTTACTTAAGCTTGAGCAGCATCTGGCAAGGGTGTGTCTGGCCTTCCAAATCCTGGGATTCTCTCTCTGTGAGCCCCGGTGGTTGACTTGGCACCCTGCCCAGGCCTTTCCCAGAGCCAGCCACTGTGGGTTCAGTTGACCGCCCCCCCACACACATATTTTATCCAGCACTTATAGGGTGGGCTGTCGGGTAGGTGTGGGCTTGCTTCTAGGAGAAGGTGACAAGGAGAGGGTCACTGTTTGGTTCCTTCCTGTGCTTTGTCTCTAACAGCTGGAAGCTGAAGCCACTCACCGTGTTATCACCATTGCAAACAGGGTAAGTAGTGGACGTCCACTCCAGGGCTGACACCGGCCTCTCCAGGGCAGCCCTGTCCTGCTCGGGGTGCTGGCACCACCCCAGGCCCAGGAGCCAACAGAGCCTGCTCCGTGAGCCTTGTCCCTCCCACAGTCTGGCACCTGCTCTCCGCTGGCCATTCACTGGCTGAAGTCTTGGTTCCTTGCTCCAGTGTAAATGGCTCCCGAGGGAGGCGGGGGAGGTAGAGGGACCACAGAGCCCAGCTGTAGCGTTTCTTTTAGAGGAGTCAGTGAGGACACTTTTTGCTTAAAGAACCGTGACTTAAACTCATGCCACCAGGCCATCGGTTTCCTGCTGTCCTCCCCGGTGTGGTGCGGGGCAAAGCCCAGCAGGGTTGTGAGACGCTGGCAGGGTGTGGGGAGCAAGGGGATGAGGCACCACAAGTTCTGACCAAGGATGGCTGGGAGGGTGGGAGAAGCCACGGACGGGAAAGCACTTCACAAAGAGCTGCGTGCTGTGCCGAGGTGGTCTCCCCCACCGCCGTGCCAGGGCACGACGGCTCTGGTGGTTGGCTGCCTTCTCCGGACAGGGCTTTCCAGACTTTTCCCCTTGCTCCCCACAGCACCCCTCGGCAGAAACAGGAACTTGGACGGGCAGTCTCAGACCCAGGCAAGCCCACTGGATTAGAAATTGGGGGGAAGTCCTGCAGTAGCCCCCCAGCGATTCAAGTGGGTGCTAATGCTTGGGCACCTCTTCTGGGGTGACCTGGGCTACCCCGAAGGATGCAAGCATGCAGGAGGGGTTTTGGGAACATCTGGGGTAGCAGAGAAGCCGTGGATCAGCCAGTCTCAGATCTAGTCAGTAAGCATGTGCGAAGCACAACTAACCTTAGAGAAGAAGCTCGTCAAGTTCCAATCCAGGGGTCCGTTCACAAGGTCCGCCCTGTCTGGCCTGAACACTGACCCCTGACCCCTTGGACTCTGGCTTCTCCAGGGTGCACTCCGTCCACTGATGAGCAGCCTTCAGAGTGCAGACCATAATTTCAGACGTGGAATGCAATACACACCTGACTCCAGGTCACACATTTAAGAGCAGGAAATTAAAACAGGAAAAGCAGCCTGTCCCTTTACGAGGTAGTCAGTGGGAGAAACATGAGGTTCAGACTTGACAGGCTTCACCTCACGGGCCAGCCTTCCTGGTTTGACCTTACAGGCTGACCTTCCCGGCGGCTCTGGTGCTAGCCACTGCTGGCTGCCCCCTTGCCTCATGCCGCTCCTCAGCTGTGTTTGTGACCATCACCTTGAAAGTGGGCTTAAGCGACACAGGAGCGGTACCGGTGCCAAGATTGTTGTAGTGCTCGCTAAGTCTGGACTTCCACTGTTTCTTGTGTCTAGACCCACTGTCCCATCTACCTGGTCAACGTGTCTAGCATCTCGGCCGGTGACGTGATCGCAGCTGCCAAGATGCAAGGTGGGTTCTTGGTGCACACGGGTCGGGTCGTGTGGTGTACTGGAGACAGACAGCCTGCCGGCAGTGCGCCATGCAAGCTCCAGAGGCTGGGACCTGAGCCCTGCCCTGCCCCTCTGCAGTCTTCCTCAGAACCACCCTGCACTCGCTCCGTTTCCATCTCTAGAGCCTGAGTTTTCTTGTCTGCATGTTTGTATACATAATAGCTTCACAGAGGCATCTGTCGCCTCTCCTGGGTCTGGCAAAATTTTCCAAATTTTAAACCCATTCACTAGCTAGTCTTTTGGCCTCTTGGGTTGTACTCACAGTTGCCTTGGCAACTAACCTAAAATCCTCGATTCCGTGGGCATTTGCGGGGGTGTCTGGGAAGTCCCTGGAGAAGGACCAGTATGTGGACTCAGCTTCTCCATGGAGCCTCCTGGAACTTGGAGTGTGGGCCCACGGAGCATTTGTGTGACTCCGGTTGCCAACTGCCCAGCAGTTCCTGAAGGCTTTGTGTTTTCTTGGCGTCTAGCCCCTCTGGAGTGCTGGTGAGGGCCTGACCACAGGAGAAACCAAGTCACGGGCACAGACACACCTGCAGATAGAAATCAGAGGCAAGGTTATCCCACCTTCACACAGCCACTCTCTCGTTGAAACCCTCTGTGGAGTCTCACCTAGACTGTTGTCCTGGTCTTCTGACTGGGCTCCCACCTCCTGTCCCCCTTGGTCTTCTGACTGGGCTCCCACCTCCTGTCCCCCTGCCCTCCAGCCTTGCCACAGAGCCCACCCTGAGCGAGTCTCTGGAAGCTTCTCACAGCACCTGGCTGTTCAGAAAACGGTCCAGACTGCTCCTTAGCATGGCATCCACAGCACTGCGTGCCTGTCACCCAGTCCCCAACCCCTTCTCCCAACAGCACCCACACACACTCCAGTCGAGCCGGACTCCTCCAAGTGCTGTGTGGTGCAGTCCAGGCTTGGCGCCATGTCCTCTGCTCTCCTCGCCACAGTCAGCAGAAGAGGGAAGCTCTCTGGACTTAAACGCAGCTGTGCTCAAGTGCCCGAGTGCGCCCGGGCAGGGTCCCTCCTGTCTCTGGCCTCACTCCTTCACCTGTGAGAGGCTCTGGCCGGGACCTCCCGGCTCCATGGACTCCTAGTTATGGTCTCAACCTTCTCCTTCCAGGGAAGGTTGTGCTGGCCGAGACCACCACCGCGCATGCCACGCTCACAGGCCTACACTACTACCACCAGGACTGGTCGCACGCAGCCGCCTATGTCACAGTGCCGCCCCTGAGACTGGACACCAACACGTCCACCTACCTCATGAGCCTGCTGGCCAAGTAAGGTGCTCGGCAGCACAGCCACTGACTCACGATGCATGCACTCGGGGCGTGTAGGTCTTTGCGAAGAGGCACAGAAATCCCAGGAAATGAGCCTGATCATTGTGCCCATAGGGTTGCCTTTGTTTTATCACCTCCTCCAGAGCCCATCAAGTAATTGCCCTCCTGTGGGCTTCTGTGACCCCTCGCTTTGAAGAAGCTTCTGAGGTGTGAGCGTGAAGAGCATAGGTAAAGCTGTGAACACAGGTTATCAGAATTCTGAAGGACATAGGTATCTTCCTCTAAAGCCCAGAGGGGAGCTTTGACGAGTCCTAGAATATGTGGGGCCCGTCCCATCTTTCTTCAGGCCTCCCTCCTCCTGTGTGTTTCTCCTTCTTCCCTCTCCTTTCCCTTCCTCCTTCTTTTTCTCCCTCTTCTCCCTTGTGCTCTCCATCCAGGTCTTTGCTCCAGCCCCTCTTTCTCGCATGCTTTTTCCCGTTCAATCCCAATCTAAAGAAAGAGGTTTGATGAACAGTCTGAGTTCGGTGGGAATTCTCAGACTTAGTTTTGTCCCAGTACCTGCTGCTTCTTTCTCTCCCCTCGTAACAGCTCAAGGAGAGCTCAAGTGAGCTTTCTCCTCACTCTGGGGCATTCAAGCCCCATCCAGTTTAGGAGTTAGTTTCCTCCTCTCCCTGTCCCGGTTCAGGTTGGGTTGGGTAGAGGGATTAGGAAAAAAGGTGGGGGCTTCTTCTCCATACCAAGCGTGCCTCTGTCCCACAAGCTGGACCCCTGTGAGCACGGGCCCTGGCAGGGCAGCTTAAGCCTGGCCACCTATGCAGTGTCCGGGGCCCAGAGGATGCTCACGTGGCCTTTCTGCTCCCTGCAGTGGCAGGGCAGGCTGTCCCACTCAGAGGCTTAGAGGCAGCTCCATCCGTCCACTGCCCAGGCAGGGGCCCCCAGCTGCCACCCTTGCTCTTCACAAGTGAGCCTCTTGGCTTTGGGGCAGGCTGGTGGGGAGCCCACTCAGCCCAGCAAAGAGGAGGGGGGAAGGAACCCAGGACTCCTCATCCTGCAGCACTCTGGCTCCCTCCGGCTCCTGCGCTCATAGATTTGGGGGGGCAGGAAATGCTTCTTTGGTGCGGGGGGGGGCAGTGGAGGACAGTGACCAGCCCCCCACAGGTGGCTCTCTTTAGACGAGGCTCATCTCATTCGCGTCCTTAGCTCTCAGTCCTGGTTGCCAACAGCTGGAAAATTCCCACTCCCATCTTGTAATGCTAATGACCGAGAGACAAGTGTGAGATGTGGGACTTGCAAGTGTAGGTGGAGTGCAGTCCATCGGGTCGTGGGCGGAAGTGGCTCTGTGGAGGGCAGTGACTTCTGTGGCACGGTGGCAGTAGTTACATTCTGCCGAGTGAGTTTGGTGGGCCCCAAGCAGCTGCAGTTCCTACAGACGAAAGCAAACTCAGAGGGTGAAGGTGAAGGGGAAATGCTCGATCAGCGCTTCTCTTAAAAACGCTTTTCATTGGGAAAAATCACCCTCCTTTTCATCATGATCGATACAACAAAACAATTATCGAGAACCGCTATAATAACATCGGCTTCGTGCAAGGTCAGAGAAGCTTTTGAAATATCTCTGCTTCCTACAGGCAAATTTGCTGAAAGGACAAAAAGATAACAAGTGTCCCAACCCACCCAAATTACCATGCCCAAGCCCACACAAATTCAAATAGACGGGAGAGAAAGTATTATTCATTGAATAATTTAAGCTTTTACAGCTAGCCTATTTGTCAAATTTATTTTAATTATTTAAATTAATTCTATTTTAAGTAGGATTGTAATTTCATGTACTGAGACTAGATCGAACCTTCTTTTTTTCGAACCCCCTTTTTAATCAGTGCATATTGTAAATTGTGCTAATGTATAGGCTTTGGAGAATAATTTTAACATTTTAATTGTTTATAGGAATTTGTGTGTACCATGATGTTGCCTTTATAACACATTGTTGGCTATAAATTATGTGATGCAAAATGCTTAATAGAGAACTCAGATACCAGTTATCATTCCTATAAGAAAATAATTATCTCTTTTAGGATATGACTTGTCAGGCTATATAGGAATAAAAAGTACAATCCATAGATATAAGGATTTGTCCTTTATTCAAAACATGGCTCCTTAGAGGAAACAGAATTGTTGTCATTTGAACAGGTAATATTTTTAAGTGCTTGACAACGTCATTCCTGTTTTAAACTTTGAACACTTTGGGTGTTTTTTGTCTCCCAGACCCAGTGTGGCACCTCCTGGAAAGAGACCCCAAGCATTCACACGGCTCCGTGGGCCCCTTTGTGTAGGAGACTTGCTAGGAAGTTGGGTAATCAGGAGACTTGTTGATCAAAGAGTGGGAACTGAGCTCGTGGCTCTCGGGGCCCCGACCTGCACTCCACGACTCTGCGGTGCGGGTCTTCTGGGCTAAGCCCTACCCAGGTATCTGGGGGGCTCCTGAGGAGACCCCTGAAGAGTCCTCTCGTCTCTGGGGAGCTGAGGTCCAGAGGGTGTGACGAGCCCTCGCGGCTCCAGCACAAGCCGCTGCTAGGGAAAGGGTCCCTCCCGCGGGCCGAGCAGTCTCGTTGGCCCAGCCTGCAGCCCAGGAAGAGCTGAGTCCTCTAACTGCAAGGCGGCCAAAGGCGCAGTCATCTGGCAGGAGCTGTGACTGGTGAGCCTGCCAGGCCCCCGGGAGACCGCCCTATGAGTGGCCATTGGCTGAAAGCCTTGAGAAGATGCTGCCTTGGCAAGGCAAACAACGCCTTCTGCTCCCAGATCGCCTTCTGAAGTGGACGTCTTAAGTGGCCGCCACACTCACGAGGCTCTGCTGCCTCCCGCCAAGTGAAACTGGTGCCTCCTCCTGAGCCCCAGCCCCATGGTGTAGTCCCGGCCCTGCCCCCTCTCCCCCAACCGCCTGCTCCAGCCAGGCCCCTCCTGGCCCCCAAGGACGTTTCCTCCAGGGGTTGTCCGGTCTACATGGGCATCCGCTCTCCTCACGCCTCCCTGCCTCTGAGCCCTGGCCGACAGAGATCTCTGGTGTGGCCAGCTGCCTGCCTCCCTCCCTTAACAGTGGTCTTGCTGCTGCACGCCCTCTCCCACCGTCCCACCCAGAGTAGCCCGCAGGGACTTGCATGGAGGACAAGGTGGTCATGGATGGGCCAGGGATGAACAACTGACCCGCATTCCACTCTTGGTTTACAAAGTCAGGCCTCTCTTCTGCCTTGTCCCTCCTTCCCCTTCTGGGCCGTTAGAGCCCTCACATCCAGGGAAGGCTGTGGGGTCAAGTCGTTCAGCAAAAATGAACACCGACCCTGAACTTGAAAACACGAGGTGCCAACTGAAGGGGCTTGGGCAGCTAATGAGAGGAGGTTGGCCTGTTATTCCATGATGGAAAAACCACCTGTGCTGCCTCATGTTGGCTAAATCTTGGGTTCATTTTCTCTGTCCACTGTCTTCACTCTAAGAAATGCCATCCTGGCTGGCCTCGGTGGTTCAGCCTGTAATCCCAGCACTTTGGGAGGCCGAGGTGAGTGAATTGCCTGAGCCCATGGGTTCGAGACCCACCTGGGCAACTTGGTGAGACCTCATCTCTACAATAAATCAAAAATTAGCTGGGTGTGGTGGCACGTGCCTATAGTTCTGCCTATAGGCACCTGAACCCAGCAGGTTGAGGCTGCGGTGGCCGTGAGTGTACCACTGCACTCCAACCTGGGTGACTGAGTGAGACTCCAACTCAAACAAAAATAAAAATAAAAAATACCATCCCAAAGGTGTTCCCTGATGTCTCTGGTGGCACGGAGTGTCTGCGCCACACCGCACACACACCGCCCTTCTGCAGGCTAGTAAACTGAGGTTCACGTGGATTAAGCAGTGCAGTGGTCACACAGCCATGAGGCCGACGCTGGAGTCAGCTTTGCCTGTTCCCCAGCAGAGGCTTTCCCCCTGCCGGTCTCCCCCTGGCCACCCTTCCCTCACGGATCATGTCCTTCTCTCCACCCAGTGATACGCTGAACATTGTGGCCTCGGACCACCGGCCTTTCACCACAAAACAGAAAGCTATGGGCAAGGAAGATTTCACCAAGATCCCGCACGGCGTGAGCGGCGTTCAGGATCGCATGAGCGTCATCTGGGAGAGAGGCGTGGTATGATGTGTTCTGTGCCGCCCCACCCCAT